CTTTGATAGTTCAGAATGATTCAGAATGGATGCTACATATTGTACTGGTAGGTTTGGCAAGACATATGAGGGTGGTGATTTACCGCCAGACCTTGATTTCAGGAAGTGGATGTGCAGCGAGCATTCACCCAGGAGGGGCCTGGGCCGTAAGCAATGAAACATCAGCTCTGTTTTCTCGCAGCTTCTTCCATATCTGGTTTATAGCATTGCGCACTACAGGAGGTTGCGGTAGAGCTTCCGCCAAGGTCCAGCAGCGAATCTCCGATGCGCGCCCGAGGGCGCTACCTGGCCCGGATTGTTGCTGCAGGCAGGCTCCAAGCAAACAGAGCCCCAGAAACCTGGCCCCGACTCTGCTACAGAAGCTGCACAAATCCTGCTGCAAGAACCTTACTGTGCTCCCCTAAGTAGACAAGGGCTTGGATCAAGCGTGAAGTATGAGAGGCATTTTCTGCTTCAATGAAATTACTCACCGAAAATACATAATCGGTAGCATCAGCATGAAGCAGCACATCCAGCATGAGCAGGCGACAAGGAAGCAGTGAAGCAGTACTTGCTGAACGAGCCCGTCGAAGACATGTGGAACATACAGATCGATATGGAGGACAGTCAGCCAGTGCACGCTGTTGGTGCGAAGTGGTTGCTTACCTTGGATGTCAGTTTCAGACACTTTCCTACTTATTGCTGGATGAAGGTAGGCTTCTTGTGAATGATAAGGATCTTTGACAGCCATTCGGCCTAAAGGCCTAAAGGCCCAAAGACCTGCAAGCAAGAACTTCCCGTACGGATGTTTCAGGATTGGGTACCTGGCAGATGGTGTAACGTAGGTTATGCAGCACCGCAAGTATTGACACACGAGTGAACACTAAGAACATTTCGATACCACGTCTTGGAGACAGTTGTACTGGTTGTATAAGGTGAGGTGCAATCAGGTACTATATGGGTACCCATGGTAGCAGACGCAACCACCCATGCCGCATCAAGCCTCAACCCTTACGTAAGAACTAGAAGTCATGTTTTTCAACCAGGGTTCATGCAGTGGAGGGATGTAAAGTTTCCGCAGATTCGCAGAAAAATCGAACGCTCTGGACTACCCTGTAATGAGCCAAAAATGCTGCTCTAAATGAAATGCGATCTAAATGGCAATCGCAATGCATGAACATCTAGGAATGGAGCCCAAACATATTCATGGCGGGACCCTACGTAAGTGATCGAGCATCACAATCCTCTTGATTACAACATCGTCAGGTACAGCGTCAAAAGGAAGTATGTCTCTCAATCTCCCTCGCAGGCCAAAATGGATCACCATGTTGCAGAGCCAAGTCCTGGGTTCCTCTCTGATGGCTCCGCTGTGGAACAAGCAGCAAGCTGTATGTCAGAGTAGATCACGCTCGTTTGTTGTTATCACTGACTGACCATCTAAAACGCACACGCCGGGACTTACGAGAATGCTACCCAGCTACATGCTTTGACTGCGTTGCCACTCTTATGACCACCATGGTAGCCTGTTGTCGTTCTCTCAGCTATGGTTTAGGAAACATGCTATGTAGAGCCAGCAACTAGTCGAGAGTACGGACCATGTACTACTTGCTACTTTGCTTTGTCCTCAACCGCAGCCAGGCCAAATCGAGCTTTGGTGAGTTTGAGACGATTACCTGACTGTTGCTCTTCGGTCCTGTATTGCGTTGTTCCCATCCTTTGGGTCAACTCTCCTTTCTTGACCAACTCCCGAAGCAAAATTCCACGCCTGAAAGCGTGCTAGAACCTTCTCCCAAACCTGTTACAGATTTAAACAAACGCCAGATGCGCCTGGGAACCCACACCCTTAAACCCGAAGAGAAGATAGATTGACGCGCCTGACTCCGCAGGAGTGGCAGACCAAGGCAGAGCAGAAGCAGATGGACAAGGACTTTAACAAGCTCATCCCCGGCAAGGACGGCCATGTACTGGGCTCCTCTAGGCTGAGAATAGTAATTAGCAATGAAAACCTGATAGGATCCACGAACCCGAATGCAGACACGTGACGCGTGCATCGCAAAGATAACAACACCCCGCGTGCGACACCAATCAGGAAACTTAAGTCCGGAGTCATCCTCTCTCCTCTCTCTCCTCTCTCCTCTCCTATCTCTTCTCTCCTATCTCTTCTCTCCTCTCTCTTCTCTCTTTCTCGTTTCCTCTCTCTCCTCTCGTCCCTCATCTCTCGTCTCATCTCTCTTTTCTCCTCTCTCCTCTCCTCTCTCCAGGGGCGAGTCCAAAAGTGACGACAATTCTGCATTTCGCGACCATGCCCCCCCCGATCCCTGTGACTGTTGACAATTTTGAAACGCGAAAACCCGAGACGAATCCAAAGGTGACGACAGTTCTACGTTTCGCGACCACGACCCCCCGGATCCCTGTGATTGTTGACACTTTTGAGACGCGAAGACGCGAGACGACTCCAAAGGTGACGACAGTTCTGCGTTTCGCGACCACGACCCCCCGATCCCTGTGACTGTTGACATTTTCGAAACGCGAAGACCCCAGACGAATCCAAAAGTGACGACATTTTTGCGTTTCGCGACCACAACCACCCCATTCCCTGTGACGGTTGACACTTTTTTTTTTAACACACCTTTTTGCTCCTGCCCAGTCTGTCGACCGGTCAGCCTGCTACATCAGGCCCCCACCCATCAGCGGACCCTGCTGTCCCAGGTGGGTTCATCGCCCGCCGCCCCGGCTAGGAGGCCCTCCAACGGCATTTCGGTGCCGTCGGAGGAGTCAATGGGCACGGCAGGGAGCTCAAGTAGCGTGCTGGCGTGCGCTCGCAGGCCGGCGAAGGAAGCGAGCGCCATCCACCGTCTCTGCAGCGAGCGTCTGGTGGCTTCCGCGTCTTCTTGAATGCTGCAGATGGAAATCCCATCTGTCGTCTGAGCTTGCCGGCCTTTGCTTGTGTTTGCTGTGTCGCACTGACCCTTTCTGCATTCTTGCTTTTTCCCCTTCCTTTAGGACGGTGGCACAGAAGGTAACACCGGTCCATCCGTGAAACCCAGAAAAGAAAAAACCATGCCAGGTCCAGTAAAAGCGGGTAGAACTTCTAAAGAGCTGGCCGCCCATGGTGCCCGCTGCCTGGCCCTAGCCCGAGCAAGCCGACGTAGGAACGCGCATGCTCCGCTGCTGATCCGTCCGCCGACCTCCATGCCGAGCACGACCAAGCGGCACCTCGCCCGCCCCGCGCCCAAGAGTTCAGGGTACGTGCTCCGTGTCTGCGCGAGGTCGCGGTTGCCCGTCCCTCTGCAACGGGCTGACGAGCGTTGTGTCGACCGCGACTTGGGCACCTCGCCACACGTGCAGGCCGTTCGCGACGACCTCGATCCGCCGCCCATCGGTCGCGGGGGCATCCAAGTTCATATCGCGCAGCGCGACATGAGTTGCAACCCGCGCCCCCGCTTCTCGGCATATGCACGCTGCTGCCCGCTCTAGAGGCCCCGCTCTATGTGCGAGGACACCCACCTGCGCGCAGGCCAAGCGGTGGTCGCCTAGAGCGTCCAAACGCCCGCCGCAGCGACAGCGCCGCGGGGCGAGGGGCAGTGGTAATCGGAGCCTCCTTAGGAGGACAACCCGATATTCGTCGTTTGGGACATCAAACTCCGGGCACGAGGGGACTGTGGTCAGGACGCAGCTAGCTCCCTCGCCACTTTGGGACAGCAGCAGCGCCCGCGATGCATTATCCAAGTCAGCAAACAGCATCTCGAGCGCGCGCTTGTCCACAGCAGCTCCGGCCAGCTTCTGCCACCCCCGTCGGCTGGTGTCCTCGGCACCTTCCCCCTCGCTTGGCGGAGGGGACGCCCCCTCCCGCAGCAAGGACTCCCACGTCGGCACGCGGCAACCCTGCATGCGCAGCGCTTGCGCAGCCCGTTCCGCAGCCGAACGCGAAGGCCCCAGACGAATCCAAAAGTGACGACGGTTTTCGTTTCGCGAATACGACTCCAAAAGTGACGACAGTTCTGCGCTTCGCGACGATTTTCGTCTCTCCGGCATGTCCGACCCTCCGCGAACGCGTGCGAACGCTTGCTCGCTTGCGAACGCAAACGCAACGACCTCGCGTCGCCTCCTGGACCCCTGGACCCCAACCTTAAAACGGGAACCCTTCTGCTACGCATTCGGGAAAGCCATGGAACCATAAAAGCCATGGAAACAACAGAAACCATACAAATTATAGAAATCATAGAAGCCATAAACACAAAAGGAACATGGAGACCGTAGAAACCATATAGAAACCATGGTAGCCGTAGAAACCATTGAAACCACGGAAACTATAGAAACCATGAAAACAACAGAAACTATACAAATCATAGAAATCATAGAAACCCTAAAATCATGTAGGAACCATGGAAACCGTAGAAACCATCTAGAAACCATTCAAACCATAGAAACCACGGACACCGTGTAGACAGCCACAGGTCCGCATTCCAAATTATCATTACTTTCCGTGTACCAAAATGATCCAAATTGGCGTTCCAAATTGCACCAATTCCCCTGCTACAATCCGCGCGGCCCATGCCCAACAAGAACGAACATCAGGATGTTGCAACTTGCCTCCTGCGTCTGGATTGTAAGATCCTGAACTGCGACGTGCTCCTTCACAAACACACAAACAAGCGAAACTCACGTCAACACTCACAACCACGCCAGCTGCCCGGAGGGTTTGAAGGGTCTCCTTTGAAGGGTCGGGTCTCCTGTCCAGGTGTTCTCTATCCTCTGAAGCCGCATCGTGCATTTTTTGAATCGGACCATGCGCCCGCAGCATTGCGTTCGCTCTTTGCAGGGTAACCAGCCGCAGTGCAAGCACACCATGCCCATGGGTATGGCAAAGGATTCATTTGAAAGCGGAGCAGCGCATCTGCCGCTGCGAGTACATGCGGACGCAACAAACTGCCTTGTCCATCGACCACGCTCCTGATGATTCGGAGGTCGCGACATTAAGATCTACAGAGAGGATGTCGCACCACATGTTGGCCTTCATGCTAAGCACGCGCACTCAGTGCAAGGCCCAGCAAGTCAAGTTCTGCCCTCCAGGCCAATTTTCGGTGGTCCCATTCAAGGTCGTACCTCAGCTCATGTAAGACCATGTAGGTTTCTGAACGTTATACACGTTTTCGATGAGCAGTGCAAGTCCCAGGTACCTCACCGGGACATTAGCGCGCAATTCCAAGGCATCTCCTTGGAAACCAGAGGCCTCCATGCAGCAATAAAAATCCGCCGAAAGAAAAAGATCGATTCAAATGGAACCCTTCAACGCAAGTGCAGACACGTTTACTTTCAGCAGCTGAACCGGTTGAACCATTTGTTTTTTTTTCCACGGACCTTTTTACGCCTGATCCACAAAGGCTTCTAGTACGTCAGCTACCGGCTGCCAGCTCAGGGCCGCAAACGCAAGCGGCTGGGCCAGCTGGGTCGGTGCCCTGCAGCACTACATCCAGCGGCGGGCCCTCGCAGGCGCCCGGCCGCAGGGGCTGCTGCCAGGGGCCGCCCAATGCTGTGCTGGCGACCGCTTGTTGGACCGCCACGGACAGCATGCTCCACCATCGCCGTGTCCAACCCGCCGCGGCCGCTGCGCGGATGGCTGGGCTCGCTGGGCTCTCTCGCACCAGCTGGCGGACGAAGCTGCGTGCCCCCTCGTTCCACCGACCGCCTACCTCTGAGCCGAGGACGACGAGCTTTTGCGGCCCTGCACGCGCAAGCTCCGGGTACGCGGCGTGCTTGCGTCGCTCGGCCACTCGCAGCGCGGCGGCGTCGATGGTAACGGTGCATGGCTGCGGGTGCCCAGTCCGTGTGAGCGGGGATACAAGCGTGGCGTCACAGCCGTGCGGTGTGGCTCCGTACACAACGAGGTCTAGCCTCCGACGGTCCTCAGCTCCAACGTTCGGGGCTGTAGTGTGTGCAAGCCACTGCTGGAGATATACCTGGCCATCCGCTCCCAGCGCCTCGCGCGCGACACGCACCCAGGCATGTTCCACGATCTTTGCCCGCCTGGCGAGCAGACCTGTGCGGGGGCACGCGAGTCCGCCACACCCATGCGTAGGGCCGCACGTGTTCCGGCAAAGCGGCAGGGGTTGGCGCAGGCGACGACGTAGCGCCAGCTGCATGTCTGCGGGCAAAAGTGTGGTTCCTGGCTCAGTCGGGATGGCCGCAAGCCACGCGCCGGCCTGAGGCCCTGCCTGGGAACGCAAGAGTGCCTGGGAGCTGGGTGGCAAGGCTGGCAGTAGCACGCGGTCGCGATAGTGAAGGTTGCGTATCCGCGACGCGTGCATCTGCCAGCCATGTGGCCAATCTCCAGGCCCTGCATCTTCGGCAGGGGATGGACGTGCCCCCCGCAATAGGGTGCGCCAGGTGTGGAGGCCCAGCCCGCCTAGTACCGCTGGCAGAGATGCGATGGACCACGCATGCTGCGCATCCTCCTCAGGGAGGCCACCGATGCATGCGCGGAAGGTGTCCCAAATGGCCGCGTCAATCCGCGTCATGCGCGTCGGCATACCCTCGTGACTCAGACGGGGGCAGCGTCCGTAGCGCGTGGTTGGCCCGCGGGGAGGCGCACATACACAAAAGAAGCCAGCTGCATTGCAAATCCGGCAGCAATGGCAGCTGCTGCAAGAGCTTGAGCTCCTCGTGCAGCCGCTCCGCCGTCCACGCACGGACAAAGTCAGGGTGCCCGATGGGCGTGCCCATGGTGCCTTGTCGCCTCGCCAGACTGCCTCGCCCAGCTCGGCGATACCGGGCGGGGGTGGGCCGGTCTCTGCTGCGATCACCCGCGTCTTGCCCAGATTGGATGCGATCCCGCAATGGTGCCAGACGGCTTGGGTCGTGGTGTCCAAGGCTGCGAGAGAGCGTGACCCGGGCTCGTTCGTGACCACGTAGAGGTCATCCAGGAACGCCATGAGGGCGTCTTCCGGTGCAGTTGGGACGCCGCCGTTCTCAAGGCTTCGTGTTGTCCGAGGGCGAACAGCGCTGGTGCGAGGGAGTCGCCCTGCTCGCAACCCTCACCCTGCGGTACGTCCCTGCACCGTCCGGCCTCATCCCACCAGCAGTAGCTGGAGGGCTTGCCGTAGAACATCCGTACGAACGGGAGCAATTCAGGTGCAACCTCGCGAAACTTGCTCAGGAAGGCAACGCGGGACATGGAATCATACGCACTACGGCCGTCCAGGGACACCAGCACGGCATCGGGCCGCAGGGATAGCGCAGAGCGAACCTGGGCGGCCACGCTCTGGCCTGCAGAGCATACTGGAAGGGACGGGTTGCATGATCGAATGTGTCAGCCCAGCTCTTCGCGAGCGTCCGGGAAACGAGGCGGCGAAAAACGTCGCCTGTTGCAATCCCCCGCACTCCGCCGTCTGGCTTGCGCAACGCAGTAAGCCGTGCCATGGCGAGGCCAGCTGCGATGTCTGGCGGGATGCGCGCATGAGCCAGATGCGTTGCCGCCTCTGCAAGCAACTCCAGGGCCTCCAAGTCGTGCAACAACAGCTTGGGGTGTTCCGCTTGCATGCCTGACAAGCCAGCCGCACTGCCGCGCCGGGCCTCGCGCAGCGCGTTGGCCACTGCGCGCGTTGAGAGCTGTACGGGCTGCATGGGCTCGTACTGGAGCAGCTCCGCTGGTGGCTCGGTGCGCGCATGGGGTGGGCGCTGCACTGGGTCGGTAAGTGCTGCCCACGTGGCAACATTGCCAGGCGCGAGCTCAGCCGCCGTAAGGACTTGCCTGGCACGTGAAAGTTCACCTTGGCGGACTTTAGTGCAAGCCCGCAGATGCCTGCGTTCGGCGAGAACTTCCGCGTCTAGCTCTGCCGGCGCTGCCGCTGGGCGTCCGCTGGAACGTGCCGCGGCGAGTAGCTGACGCCATTCACCGCGCTGGAATGCTGACGCACGTGCGAGCAACGTTGCCCGCCCTTGCGAGCCGTGCTGCATGGGGCGTGCCAGCAGCATGCTCGGGGCGAGCAGAAAGAGCTTCCATGCTCGGGCAGCAGCAATGCCATTGCCCTGCCCTCCCGCATGCGCCGCGCGAAGGCGTGACGCATGAGGCCTAGGCCCCCTAGGGAGGCGGGCAGGAACGTGATGTCACGGGCCTGACGCTGTGATTGCTCCGCATCTGCTGTGTGGCCGCGTAGCATGTCCTGCAGCGTGCGCCACACCTCTTCATCGTGGTCTCGCGCATAGGCAACTATGGCAGCGGTGCGCAAGAGATGCTGGGCGCGAGGAGCGGCACAGAAGAGCAAAAGCAGCCAGGCACACTGCAGATCCGGGAACTGGGGCAACTGAGTCAGCAACCGGCGCTCTTCCTCCAAGCGAGCGTTGGCGCAGGACCGGATGAACTCGTGGTGGCCAATGGGCACGCCCAGTGCAACGAACCCACGCTCTGCTGGTGGCTTGTCGCCGCGCCAAACATCTTCTCCGAGCTCGCGTATGCCTGGCGGCGCGGGGCCGCCTCGGGCATGATAGACATGCGTTTTGCCGAGGTTTGCTGCCACCCCGGCCTGGAGCTCGATGGTGTTGGTGACGGCGTCCAGCAGGCCACGGGCTCGTGGCGGCGACGTGACGACATAAATGTCATCCAAGAAGGCTGCCAAGAATTCTCCTGCCTCCAGCTGTCGCGCCGCGGCTGCGAGCGCATCGTGCTGGCCAAGCGCGAATAACGCCGGCGCAAGAGAATCGC